ATTAAAAATATTAATACCTATTATAATTAGGTCTTTCTAATAGCTTCATTTCAGTTCTTATTGGAAATACTGAGAGGCAAAAAATCTGAACTTACAAAGTCTCTCTTATGAACGTCACAAAATATTAAAAAAATAATGTGCTCTCTTACTCCCTCTTTCACTTAGGTTATTTGTTTGTTTACCTACTAGACATCACTTCTCAGGGAACCAGGTCTTAATACATTGAATTTGCACTCAGGCTTATTTAGCAAAAAAACTATTGGCTATGGAAATTGTACTCAATCAGAAGAAAATATGTTACTATAAATGATGAAACTTTGATGTTAAAGATAGCCGAGTCAAAGTAGCAAAGATTAACTTTGCACACATCTTGGAAAGTGCATCTTTGCTAATGTCTGATAAGGACACTACAACTTAAGAAAAACCCTGTCAGTTTTGAAGTACTTGCAGACTAGCATATGAGTGCAATACAAGGTCATTTGATTTATTAAATCATTAATAAATCATCATAATATTCTTATGCTACAACAAGCTAGCATATGCTTGCTTCATTCTTAAGACCATTCAGATTTTAGCTAGACACTTCAGAAAATTAATGGCAGCCCTAGGCTATTGCAAAAATTTGTGCAGTACAATAAGCAAAATCAAGAGACAGTTTATGAAATAGAAGAATTATGAAGAATGTGGGATTTGCTTAGTTACAAAAAAATCCTAAAAATAGTGTAGGTCGCCAGTGCTGTGTGCTGTGAACACAGATCAATGATTACATGGTGTGATGGTGCCACCTTCTGGAAAGCTGGGAGGCCAAATGCTCAATTTTAATGCTTTATTTTACAAAACATATTCTTTCCCTCCTTACTTTTTTTCTGTTTGGTGGAGAGGGTGAGGTAAGGGAAATAAAAGTCACAGGAGTGTGTAGATTTCTAGCCTCTGTACATTTTTTAATGTTTATTTTCCCTGTGATGTGCTTCCCTCATTTTCTGAAGGAGGTGTCTGGGAGTCTGTCATCTGGTTTTTGAAGGTGTAAGAAGTCAGTATTAGGATACCAATATTATAAGTATTCTTCCATATAATAGTGTTCATTTAAAAAAGAAGTCCAATTTGAAGGTATGTACTTATTTGTAGCTTTGAGAATAGCACCCTCAACATTTTCTCCTCTCTAAATATAATCAGTCTGAATTTGGAAGAAGTTTCTGTGCAGATTTCCTTATCAATTGAAGTACTTAGCTACTCCATGTCTCAGTCTCTACAAGTCAGGAATAATGGTATTCTACTTCCAGATGTTTTTTCAACCTTTAAAGCTTTTGTTAGAAGAACAGTGTAGTGAGCCTGGGGTTATCAGGGGGCTGAAGCTGGAGCACCTCCCCATAACATCAGTCTGAGAGAGTTGGGGTTGTTCAGCTTGGAGAAGAGAAGGCTCCGGGGAGACTGTATAGCAGCCTTCCAAGTACTTAAAGGGGGCCTACAGGAAAGGTAGGAAGGGAGTCTTTATCAGAGGATGTAGTGATAGGATGAGGGATAATTGTTTCAAACTGGAAGAGGGTAGATTTAGACTAGATATTAGAAAGAAATTCTTCACTATGAGGGTGGTGAGACACTGGCACAGGTTGCCCAGATGTGGATGTCCCCTCCCTGGAAACGTTCAAGGCCAGGTTGGATGGGGCTTTGGGAAGCCTGGTTTGGTGGAAGGTGTCCCAGTGCAGGGGAGTTGGAATGAGATGATCTTTAAAGTCTCTTCCAACCCAAACCATGCTATTGATTATCTGCAGTTACCTGATGAGTGCCTTCCATGTAACTGCATGAAACTGCACTGTTTGTTGTGCGAACATTGATCAAAAATGTCTTAACCATATATGTAAATTTTTGTAGGGAGATTTTTTTGTAGGGAGGTTTAAGTGCAGTGAAAGGGAAAATTGCTAAGTGTCGTAGATTACTGGAGCATTTGAGCAGTAGATGGACAGGTCCTTTCAAACCTGGCAGCTATATTTCTACCCTGCCCCTCTCTGTTAAAATTAAAGAAAGAAGAGATCTATATTTCTCTCTCACAGAACTGAAATTAAGAATAAAAGTCAAAAGTTGTTGAGAATTAATTCCTTAAGAATTTAAGAATGTGAAATAATAAACTGTAGAAAACTAGGTACTCGCTGTTACAGTTTAACACATACAACTTTGTGCTTGGCTTGCACAAGTGTGGAGAGCTGTTTTTGTAGTTACTCTTGTAGTCTCAAAGTTGGTTGTAGGTAGAAGAATTTGGGGGTTTTGTCCTCATGTGTTCAATCTATTATATTCTATGTTGCTTTGAAGACTGAGCTGTGAGTTAACACAGCAAAACTGGAAGGAATTGGCAAGTCCTGTTCCGTATACCCCATGAGCATCTGCTTCTGCCCATTGTGGGAGACAGTTGGCATATTGATCAGACCTCTTTATTATGCTTTTATTACAACATCTGATTAGATAATATTCTTGGAGCCAGTTTTCTGCTTACTTCTGTTTTTCTCACTTCTGTGAGAAACTGGGATGGGTTTTTCGTCTTTAAAAAGTCAGTGTCTGTGTTTGAAGTGTTTTTACATTTTTGGAGCTAAAACCTATTCAAACAAGCTTAAAATACATTTTACTGCTTTCATTTTTAAAGACTTATTTTATTCTTTCATCTCCTTTATAGCTATCCCATTTATTCCTTTATTAGACATGCAGAGTACTGCTAGAATCAGCTTAAATATACATATACTTCTAGGAAGTATTTTGTATACTTTGAAGTTTTGGACTATAAACATTGCTATGCAAAAAACCAAACCAACCAACCAAGCAAAAAACAACAAACCAACTAAACAAAAACCAAACCAAAATGTTTTCTTCAGTAAAATACTGTGTAAAGGCTTAGTTATGTGATTTATTACATACATGAACAGGAGGGAACATTTACATTGTGAGGAAAATATGCTTTATGTAGCCAAATCGGAAGTGGTTATTCATATTGTTTGTGGTCCTGATCTGCAAGACATTGTATCAAATGGAAATATAAATTACATCAACAACTGTGTATTTGCTGGTTAAGTAACTCTTTTGTGTGTAACAGAAGAATGCAACATGTATTTCATGTAATGGTTAAATGAGTGATTTTTCTGACCAGGAAAACTTGTGTGTTTTTCAGAAGAAAATTAATGAAACAGATTTAAGATTACTTTTATTGTTTACAACACAGGTTCAAACTGTCTGGACAACTGCCTTTACTTTCTATCCAAATATCAGACCAGAAGCTGACAAGTATCTTGGAGCTAACTGATAGCATTCCTAAACCAGAGAGTGCTCCTGCTACTAGTTCTCCTCCGAGAATAGTTGAGGTAAGCTTTTTTAGAAAAAAAAATAATCATTGTTATCAGAAAAATACTTTATTGCTATTAGCATTGCTATTTTGAAAGGAGCAGAAGAAAGTGGAAAGCAGGCATTTACTTAATACCTCTTGAAAAACTTAACTAATTCTGTAAAGCTACAGAAACTTAGCCTGTTATTTAGTTAGCTTCTTATTGTCTTTAGCCAGTAATTATGAAATAGTTGTACAGTGCTTGAATTCAAAATTAAAAAAACCCAGACTTTTACTACTCTAGGAATTACTTTGTAGTTCATGTTAGTCTTGATTAACAAACATACTCACTTTTGTTGAAGTTTAGTTTAATTGTACCTTCAAATTTACACACATATCAGAGTGCTGCAGAGTTCAAATTCAGCTAGCTTGTATAGCAAATAAAAGGTTGAAACTGTGGAATTTTAAAATTTTCAAAAACAAAAGAAAAAATACCCACTCTCTGTGGCTAATGTTGGCTAAGCAGTGCTGGCCTAGCAAAAATGGCACCTTCATTTCATCTAACTTCACTGTTCTTCCCAGCTTTTCTTTATTCACTTACACAACATAGGTGAGTCCATGCTCACCCCATGCCTTTCCTTAGTGAAAATGGTTCAAGTCATTGCTTTATGCTTTCTTCAGGACAGAGGATTGCCATTTTCTTCTTACTATTCCTGGAAAGTAGGTTTTACCTTTTGATATGAACTGTTTTTAACAAAATTAGAAAATGAACTCTGAATTGCTTTTTTTAAAATCAATGTAGTCTGCATGATCTGGCTATATTTTATTTATCTTTAAACCAGTCCTATCATTTGAACATATGTGAAATCTCAAAGTCAAATACAAAAACATTTTTCTGTCATTTGCAAATACTTCTAATTATCTGTTATTTAATGTTTTGCACACTCGAGTCTAAAGTAGTAATGGTCATTTTTGTGGGTTGTTTTGGTTTTTTTTTTAGGATTGCTTTATAATTATCTTTCCATCTTTGTACAAATCATTCTGCCTTGTTCCTAATGGCTGTTGCTGCAGTCTTGGTTTTGTTTTATGTGGGTTATGTTAGCATAATAACTATAAATATACACAACTGTACATGGATACCTATTGAAAATATATGTAGAGTGAAGATTGTTACCTTTCAACATGTAGCTCTTGCCATCTCTTTAGTGGTGACATGAAGATTCCAGCTAGTTTTGACCTGATTTTACACCCTTCGTATATTAATAGTATCCCCAGTCAAAAGCTGCTCTAGTGTCTGTTGTTTTGTGCAACTAATTGCAAATTTTCTTCAAGTGTAAGTAATGAGATTTTAGTTTTACCTAAATAAAATTTGCACATATAAGATTATTATCCTGTAATTTATAACATTGCCTATAGTTGAATTTAATTATATAATTAAACTATTACATTTAAAATATTTTACATGACTTTGATGTAGTTAGTATTATCTGTGCATTACTTGTGACGTACAAGATGAGGTGAGGGGAGACTGTTGAGCCAGTGTGAATGTGTTTGCATTACATGCAGCATCCATATTAAAACGTGTGGTTAAACCAGTCAGGTCAGGCTTGCATCTACAGAGAGTCTGACAGATTCTAATTGCTGGTATTAAATTAAGTTAATTTTAGTAGATTAGCTGCTTTGGTGGTGGCAGATATACTTCCACACCTTCATCCTTGTAGCTGAAATTCTTTTGAGCTTTGTTGCCATCACATCGCTTCTGAACTGAAAATGATGTGAAATCCTTTTTCAAAGCTCCACATGTGAACTCTGTTCTTTATGTTTTTAGTTAGTGGAGGATTTGTTCTTGGGCTGCAAAACAGAATATTCTTCAGAAGAAATCCTTCTAGGGTTTTGCACCCTGCATTTTCTCGTACTTCAGTACAAGAAGGCTATCCACTTCAGTGTGGAAGGCTTTGTATCTCATTATTTGGTACTGTGAAGTCACATCACACAGTTTCTTCTCTTTCTCTTCTTAGAATGTTAAAGTGTTATGGATGAAACATTTTCACAGTTACAAGATGCATCTATCACTCACATACATTGATATATGCAGTAAGGTCAAATTATGTAGGCTGGAATCTGGGAAGAGAGGCTGTTGAAATGTGAAGAGTGAGATGAAAATGGAGCCTTGGAAACAATGTTCAAATATCAATGTTTCTTTGTTGCCATGATACTTGGATTTCTATAACATACTATGAGTTATTGAATAATTGTCTAAGGCTGGGCCTGCCAGAGCAGGATCACCTAGACTAGGTCACACAGGAACGTGTCCAGACGGGTTTTGATGTCTTCAGAGAAGAAGACTCCACAACCTCTCTGAGCAGCCTGGGTCATGCTCTGTCACCCTCACAAAGTTTTTCCTCATGTTCACATGGAATCTCCTGTGCTCCAGCTTGTACCCACTGTCCCTTGTCCTATCATTGGACATCACTGAGAAGAGCCTGGCTCCTTCCTCCTGACACTCGCCCTTTACAAATTCATAAACATGAATGAGGTCACCCCTCAGTCTCCTCTTCTCCAAGGTAAAGAGACCCAGCTCCCTCAGCCACTCCTCATAAGGGAGATGCTCCACTCCCTCGGTCATCCTTGTGGCCCTGCACTGGACTCTTTCAAGCAATTCCCTGTCCTTCTTGAACTGAGAGGCCCAGAACTGGACACAATATTCCAAATGCGGTCTCACCAGGGCAGAGTAGAGGGGAAGGAGAACCTCTCTTGACCTACTCACCACATCCCTTCTAATACACCCCAGGATGCCATTGGCCTTCTTGGCCACAAGGGCACATTGCCGGCTCATGGTCATCCTGCTGTCCACCAACACCTCCAGGTCCTTTTCTGCTGTACTGCTCCCCAGCAGGTCGGTCCCCAGTCTATACTGCTACATGGAGTTGTTCTTCCCCAGATGCAAGACCCAGCACTTGACCTTGTTGAATTTAATTAAATTTTCCCCCACCCAACTCTCCAACCTGTCCAGGTCTTGCTGAATGGCAGCACAGCCTTCTGGAG